GTGTGTGTGTGTTGTATATATATATATATATTATTATATATATATATATTTATGTATATTTATACATGTGTGTGTGTGTGTATATATATATATATGTGTGTGTTGTGTGTTGTTTTTATATAGATATATGTGTATATATATATATATCTATATATTTATACATATATATATATATATATGCATGCATGTATATATGCATATACATACGCATATACATTATATATATATGCGTGTGTTTGTGTGGGTGGATGGGTGTGTGGGTGGGTGTGTTATAGTGTGTGCATATACATATATATATATATCTATATATATATATGTATATAATATATATATATATGTATATATATATATATATATGCAGATATTTAAGATCATGTATGCGTCATGTATATGATCATATGTGTGTGTGTGTGTATGATCATAAATATTTGTGTGTATGATCAAAATATGTGGGTGTATGATCATATATATGTGTGTGTACGATTATATGTGTGTGTGTGTGTGATCATATGTGTGTGTGTATGATCATATGTACATACAGTCACGACGCCCGCTTGTGTACTAAATTATGTGGATATGGATATGTGTACATAATTATATACAAATATGAACACAAACATTCTCAGTCCATCGACGTAGATGTAGACCTCTATTCGCGTACAAATGAGTTCGTCTGTCAATTGTGTATTCTTTCAAACAAATATGTGCCTGTGATATCTATGAAAGAATCTATCTGAAGGTCTCGACCAGATTTTTCCATACATAATGTTCTAATTGTCACTTCAGGTTTTATGCGTCTGTTCAAGTACATATCCGGCGAGAATGAATCAGAAGAGAAAGTTGAGATGACCGCTCCCGTGCGTACAGTTATTACCCCTGGACAGGGTCCGTTCTGTGAGAGCACCTTCAAAATCAGTTTTTACGTGCCAGAAAAGTGGCATACAAAGGTGAGGGCTGTAGAGTTTTGACAAATAACTCCGTATTCTTTGAGTTGAATAATTTCTGTAACGACGTCCGAAGGTGTCACCCTGGTATTAATTTGTTTAGTGTGGTGGGTGCCAGTCCATCCTCATAACACGTGTGTAGATTCGTGTTTTGCTTGCAATTATTCGCCTCCTCACCTACAATCGTTGCGGTGAGTGCTGTAGCGCAATTTCTCATGGGCATATTCGATGGCGTTATCCACAGGAAGGACCTCCCAAACCATCCAGTAGCGATGTATACATTGAAAAGGAGGAAAAAGATACCACAGTAGCCGTTTTATCCTACCCTGGGTTCTCTTCGTCCGCAAAAGTGCAAGAACATGGCATGGAGCTCTCAAAGTTACTGCAAAAAGACGGTGTCAAGTTTACAACCGAGCCGTACGCTGTCGCACAGTACGATGCACCGTATGTGATACCAAATATGTTCCTCATATGTAGCTTGCTATTTCCACTATCTGCATATATACCTTAGCAATGGCGAATTTATTTTCTTATTTGTATCGTACGTATGATGGTTTCCAAACATCTATATTAACCTTCAATGGATACGTTCTACAATTCACATATTCCGATGTACAGATACCTGCTGAACAGCAATTCTGTAGGTAGATTTGCAGACGCAGAGTGGGCAGCAATTAATCATACGATTTTACTTCCATGTCGTATAATATGTTGAAATGTGCTTCGTCCTCGATTAAGAGATCGCCCATCAATAATGGAAGATCGCCTTCAATGTTTATTGGGGATCATAGTATAGTTCAAATTACCTTAAACGAAATACTTTTACCATGCTAATTTGGCGTAGGGATTGCACTGCGGCCCAACATGGCAATGATGTGAAGAATCTTTTATATTGCCTATGAGTGAACTTTTAAAGTATGATAGACTGAATCGGTGTTTATTGATCAAGAATGTATCTACATACTACAATGTTGTGTATGGGGTTTTTTTGGATATGTATCCTTTTCCTCTCCGAAAATACCAATGACACAATCGAGTATACTTACCTCACAGATTTCGCCTTTTCAACCGACACAACGAGATCTGGTTCTACGTGGAGTGAGATACTTCTATCTGGATGTTTCTGGGGCCACAAGGCCGATAAATTGTGAGGCACAGCAAGTTACTCGATTCCTACTATACAAACTACAAATCGTGTCAAACCTACCGTTCCATCCATAAAATTGGAAGCGATTAAATTATATAGCGTTTTCACTTTTCATGAATGAAATAAAACCAGACAACAGTCTATACATGAATGAAATAAAACCAGACAACAGTCTATACATGAATGAAATAAAACCAGACAACAGTCTATACATGAATGAAATAAAACCAGACAACAGTTTATATATATATAAATATATATGTGTGTGGGGGGGGGGGGTNTATATATATATATATATCTATATATATATATATATATATATATCTCTATGTATGTATGTATGTATGTG